GTAACCTGATACAAAATTCCAATTTAGGGCTAAAGAAGAAATGACCAGGGCCACCAATAACAGCATTTACTGAGCACTTACCAGATGTGCAACAAAGCTAAGCTCGTGTAGTATTGCCGTATTTTATTCTCACAGTGACTCCAAGGGCTGGGTTCTATTCTTATTCCCATTTTATTTTTTTTTTTTTTTTTGAGACAGGGTCTTACTCTGTTGCCTAGGCTGGAGTATGATGGCCAGATCATAGTTCAATGTAATCTCTAACTCCTGTGCTCGAGAGATCCTCCCTACTTCATCCATCTCTTGAGTAGCTGGGACTACAAGTGTCCACCACTATGCCCAGCTGATTTATTATTATTTCTAGAGTAAATGTCTAGCTATGTTGCCCAGGCTGGTCTTGCACTCTGGCTTCAAGTGAACTTTCTGCTTTTGGCTTCTCAAAGTGCTGAGATTATAGGCATGAGCCACTGTGCCTGGCTATTATTCCCACTTTAAAATGAAAAACAAAAACAAAAACACAAAAACTGGGAGCCAGAAAGGCCGAGCATCTTATTCTACTAGTGTGCCACATTAACAAGCTCGGTTCTAACACAGCGAGATTGAAAGGTCTCAAGTCTTAGCCAGTGTGTTGCTATACTGTGTGAATGAATGGTCCCAACAAGGAAAAAATGTGTAAGGTAAGCATCCCTTTTACTCTAGGGCTTTGTCGCCTCATTTGGAAAAAAACAACACAATGGTGAGGATGTCACATGTCATGTAAGCGGGTGACATGGAGATGCATGGCCCAGATCTGCTCACAAGTGAGAACTTGCTGCCCAGCTCTGAGTGATATTAGCAGGTGGGCTTGCCCAAGGTCATGCCACGTCTGAGGATGGACCACATCCAATGACTGGTTCAGGAAGATATCTAAAGTTTTAGCCACTTAGGCCAAATAATTTTTTTTCTTTGAGACTGAGTCTCATTCTGTTACCCTGGGTGGAATGCCTTGGCATCATCATAGCTCACAGTAACCTCAGTCTCTTGGGCCTAAGCGATCCTCTTACCTCACTTGTCTGAGCAGCTGAGACTACAGACATCTGCCATGATGCCTCACTAGTTTTTCCATTTTTAGTAGAGACAGGGTCTTGCACTTGCTCAGGCTGGTCGTTAACTCCTGAGCTCAAGCCATCCACCTACCTCAGCGCCCCCTGCATCCAGCCAAGGCCCAATAATTTTGAAGGGCCATGCTCCAAAGCCTAGAGTGGGGTCGGCGGAGGCTATTGGGTGCCTGATGTAGCTCAGCTTCTCCCTCAGCCCATCCTGCTTCCTGCCTCTACAGACACAGTGTTGACCCTGTGGACACTTCCTAGTGAATATCCTGCCACTCTGCCTGGGAACCCAATCTGTGGCTTCAATTCCACTGAGTACAGATGTTCTTTGTCCTCTTACTTTGTTGGTCTCCTTCATAACTTCCTTTCACATTGATTTCCTTTGGGTTTTCATGTTCCAGATAAATATCAAAACCCACAAGTTTATAAAATTCTCAAATACAGGCTACACAAAGAGTCAGTCCTTTTTGTGTGGGTTTTTTTTTTTTTTTGCGACAGAGCCTCAAGCTGTCCTCCTGGGTAGAGTGCTGTGGCATCACAGCTCATAGCAACCTCCAACCCCTGGGCTCAAGCAAGCCTCCTGCCTCAGCCTCCCAAGTAGCTGGGACCACAGGCGCCCGCCACAACACCTGGCTATTTTTTGGTTGCAGCTGTCATTGTTGTTTGGTGGGCCTGGGCTGAATTCAAACCTGCCACCTTAGGTGTATGTGGCTGGCGCCTTAGCCACGTGAGCCACAGGCGTCAAGCCATGGTTGTTGATAGACTTTCCCCAGTACCCCTCTCTCCCAGGATTCCCCACTATCAACAGCCACGTTTCTTGGTTTTGGGAATAAATACAGATTGTGGAAGTACCAAAAAATTGTGTGAAAGTAGTTTATGTAAACTTTTAGTTAATTTTTTAGTATTTGAGTGGTTAGTGAATTTGCTTCCAACAGGTTCTTGCTGTGTGGCCTTTGGCAGACCACTGTAACTTTTTTTTTTTAGACATATTTGGTAGAGCCCCATGGTGTCACAGCTCACAGCAACCTCAAACTCTTGGGTTCACGTGATTCTCTTGCCTCAGCATCCCGAGTAGCTGGGACTACAGGCACCTGTCACAATACATGGCTATTTTTAGAGATGAGGTCTCACTCTTGCTCAGGCTTGAGGTCTTGAACTCCTGAGCTCAGGCAATCCACCCATCTCGGCCTCCCAGAATTTTAGGATTATAGGTGTTAGCTGTCGCACCTGGCCTATTTAAACTTTTAAAGTCTTAATGTCCCAACCTTAAAATTACAATAATAATTATTGAGATGATTTAAATAGATAACTCCAAGCAAAGTGCCTAGCACTGAATAAGGATTCTGAATATGGGCATTTTCATATAAAGTGAGCACAGTACAGGACTCAGGGCAGATTAGTTTCCTATGTCTGCTGTAACACAGAACCATAAGCTTGGTGGCTTAAAACAACAAAAATTCATTCTTTCACACTTTGGAAGCCAGAAGACTGCACTCAGTTTCACTGGGACAAAATTAAGGTGTCAGCTGCTATCTGCTGGCATTCCTGGACTTGTGACAGCATCACTCTAATCTCTGTTGCTATGTTTGGTTGCTTTCTGCTCATTCTGAGTGTTAAATCTTTCTTTGCTTAAAAAAATTTTTTTGAGGGGGGGAGGTGGACACAGTCTTACTCTGTTGCCCCAGGCTAGAGAGCTATGGCATTAGCTTAGCTCACTGAAACCTCAAACTCCTGGGTTCAAGCAATCTTCCTGCCTCAGCCTCCCGAACAGCTGGGACTCCAGGTGCTTGCCACCACACCTGGCTAAGGTTTCTATTTTTCAGTAGAGATGAGGTCTCACTTTTGCTCAGGTTGGTCTTTTTTTTTTT